CCACAGTCATCCGGGATGACAGTGGATTTATCAGGGCTCTCTCTGACTGACTCTTCCGCGAACCGTTCTCTTAAGCTGTCCACCTCTGTTGGTATTACACCCAGCTATTAGCCTCCACTAATTGCCAGCTGATGGCTCTATTGCTTTTGACAACGGCCTGACCTGAGGCACAAATCGCTCTGCAGTCTGGTCCAATTAAAGGCAGGCCCACCTGCAGGGAGCTTTCTGGAGGACAGCGTTTGGGCTTTGTTCTGAGACTAGGAGGGCACTTTTCATTTGCCTCTTTCCTTGGTGCTTCCTTGTAAACTAACTGGACTAGAGTTTAGCTTGCTGCTCTCATGAAGTTACCAGCTTCCTCTTAATGTAGGGAGCCTCTGAACCCATGGCCACACTGCCTCTGGAATTAAAGCTTTGCAACACATAGCCAGTAGAGATGAGAAACACTAATGACCTGCCTTTTCCCAAGGAAACATCACATCCCTCAATTGGGAGCTGTGGAGGAAAGGATCCCAGTGTCCTTGACTGAGTTGTCTGAGTTGTCTGTCCCAGTGTTCTTGACTGAGTTGTCTAGAGATGGGTTTCCATGATGCAGAGGTATAAGGGGAGCAGGGTAGGGTAGGAGTAGGTCATGGTTCAAACATCATAGATTCTCACTCTTCACTGAGCTTTAGTAGATTTTCATGAGAAAGAAATCTGCTTCTTCATTTGCTTAGGCCCTTTGGACAATTTCCAAAAACTCTAGATGTTTTAAAAATAATTTTTACCAAGGATGTTTGTTCCATGGGGGAGAAATTCACAGAGCTTCTTATGCCACCGTTTTAGATGTCACCACCCTGCCAGGCTCTTTTTCTGCTGCAGTAGATAAGCTTCTAGAACGTAGATCTCAGGCTGCTTCAAGCAATCATCATTCTCACCGGGAGAGAGACAGACGGAGCCCTGGTGACATTATAGGAGCCTTTGGATCTAGCCGTGCTTGAGATTAGCCCTATCATCTGGACTCCACAGTCAGATAAGTGAATACATTTCCCTCTTTGCTTAGCTAGCTGAAATTGAGTTTCTCTCACATGTAACCAAGAGTTGTAACTAATATCCTGAATGTCAAACTTTTAAATAATGTGTGAGTAAATGATAAGTACTGTGGAAAGCTTGTTCAACAAAATTGGTATCCAGAGTCATTTTCATGTGATCTTTTAGGAAGCTAATGTCATCCTGATAATTTAAGGCCTCTGAGTGCTTGATAAAATAAATAGACATCATTTATGGTCGTTCTAGTTGATGGTCCTCTTAACAAGGATTTTTAATATATTCCTATTCACCTGTCAATATTTGTTGATATTCAAAGGGTTGTTTCCAAGGAAGTCTCAATGTTAATCGCTAGTTCTGAGGTATAATACTAATAATAATACAGAAGCCTGATCTTAATTATAAAAAATTTTAGTATATCACGTAAACTTCTCTGTTCCATCAGCCTCCGGCATTTCCGATAAGCATACGGTTTTCCAAATATTGGAACCAGTTAAAGACCTCTTTAACAAATTAGAAGTGGAAACGGGGAAGATTATATGTTGTTGCCCTTGATGCGACATAGAAAATCTAGTTAAGTAAGATTTTTGTTTATTTGGTATGGTATTACTTTGAAATATTAAAGAAGAGGACAAACTTGTTAGAAATACAGAGTTACAAAAACTCTCAGGACTTATTTGCTAGTTAAGACTGTAAGCAGTGTTATCCCTGTCTCTCTTGACGATATTCTTCCATAACTCTTTCCTTGAATGTAGATGCTTATGGCAAGTGTTTTGAGCAAGAAAGACATTAGACATTATTACAATCTTGGAACTTATTAAATCTCGGTTAAAAAAACCTTTTTCTGGGTGAAGCCTGGATCGCACCGTAACTTACCTCATATTACCATGTTCAGTGCTACTTGTCAATAAAGTCCCCGAAGATCCTGCAATCCAGGGATCCCTTGTCATATTTTAAACACTTCCAGGATCTCCAGAGGATCACATTATTGAGGACATAGGTCTTTATAATCAAACAGGCACAGTGTATAACAAAATACAGAGATCCATTATAAAATTTCATTGATTCCTATTAAATGAGGGAAAGATGATGTGAATTCATGAAACTCAGTTATTCTTACAGAAGTAAAGGCTTTCTGGTCCTTTACTAAGGAAAAAGGGGAAAGTCCTCCAGGATCGGTTTTAATGGACAGATCTGACTTCTTCGTGATTGGCATATTATTTTCAGTACTTCGGGCTTCTACCTGAAAGCAGTATGCAGCCTAGAGAGCTTAATCGAGCCATCTGCCGTTTGGTTTGTACTAATAATGGTCCTGCTCTTAGATCCGCTATTCACAGATACAGAAATGTAAACATCCACTGATTTTCAGGACTTCGGAAATCTTGGGTCGGTGAGATCTGAATTCCACTAACTGTACTTGAGAACCTAGTAAGCTTGAGTTGCAAAGGCTTGTGCTTTGACCTTATTCTGATTAATAAAATCTTACCTGAGAAAGGGTTTCATCTCCAGGTTTGGGGTAGATGCCACCCTCTCATACAAAAAGGCAAGACTTTGATTCTCAGTCAACTGACTGACCAGGGCTCGAATATCTATAGTTGAGAATCTCCATCCTCTCTGTGGTGCCTCAGCACTACCCCTGGTTTGGTTTTATAGAGACGAATTTCAAGAGAAATGTCACTTAGACTTTATTTCAAATTACCCTGAGGATGAATATATCTCACTGATGTCCAGAAACTCCATGTTTATAATCTGCCATTATGATATACAACTCAGAGAAGGTAAATGTCCTGTCAACGGCAATCTCTCTTTATTATTTTTAAGGAGGGCTAGTTTCCATTATCAAAAGCAGATAAGGAATGCCAGCACTCATTTGTCATTCAAAATGGAATATACTTGTTTAGCTGGGGATTAATGAATGAAAACCATCATGCGTTTTTTTTAAACAGTGGCAATGAAGTCACAATTCAAGGTCAGGGAAAATTCAAATTGTGTTCTCCTGGGTTACTAACGCTTTTTTGGATGGGCTGGGGGCGGGGTGATAATTTTCCAACAATAACTTGGGCTTTCTAATGTTTTTTTCCCCTAAAACAGAGATGAGAAGAAGAAATCTGAGATTTTTCTGTCCTCTCCTTAAATGGTAATTAGTTTCTATATCTAGAGATTTTAGTTCTGATCTGAGGTAGTCTTTTCTTACCCCCAGTTTTACACAATGAATCTCATCTCACGACATGTATGAAAGTCTGTGGCTGGTGAAAAGTAGGTCATTTAATAGTGAGTGGGCTTGTGAACCAAATCAGCACTGATAATACATCCTTGTTTTTTTCACAGGTTCTTTGTAGGCAATGCTAAAAATGCCACTTCCCATTTGGGGTTTCAGACCAACAGATGGTAAGACTTCCCTATGTGGATGCTTCTCAGGCACCTCAAAACCAAAATATGTCTCAAATTAGGCTCAACTCCTCACTTACAAATAATGTCTTTGTTCAGTCTTCTCCATCTTTGAATAGCACTGCCATCCATTCTGTAGGTTGAACTATAAGAAACCACCTTTTTTTTGTAGGTCATTAATAGCTGAATATTGGCAATTTCAAACAGATCAACCTTAATAGTTGTTCAGGTCAGAAACCGAGGTGAAATCTTTATCACCTCCACTTCCCTTCAACTCTACAGCCAGCCAATCATGAGGACTGGTAATTCTATTTCTCAGGCATGTTCTGCATCCATCTCTAAGGCAACCACCACAGCTGAAGTCATCATAAACTGGACTCAGCAATTCCACCGTCCACACTGCAGGGAACCTGTGAGTCCTCTTTAAAACCCAAGTCCAATCATCTCACTTCCACGCTAGAATTCATTCGATGGCTTTTTACTGCCTTTAACGCAAAGACCAGACACTCCAAGATGGCCTACGGGGCTTGGCAAGCTCCAGCCCCTGCTGACGTCTTTGTCCCACCACACTCTACCTTCTGGTTACTGTGACCTTCTTTTTTCTCAAACATGCTCCTTCCTGTCTCAGAGCCTTTGTACTTACTATTCTGTCTGCCTGGAAACCCTCTTGTCTCTCATTACCTTTCATGTCCTTGTCACTCAGTGACCCCTACTACTCCTTCATTCACATCTCAGCATAAAAGCCATGCCTCAAGAGAACCTATACATGTCCAGATGGAGTGGAACCCCATGGTATACACATTCATGAGACTCTGTTCTCCACCTCAGCACGGATCCCACTTCTAACTACCTGTTCAATGCCTTGCTAGACTCAAACTCCAAGGGGGCAGGACCATAGCTGTTTTGTTCACCACCTTATCACCATCGCTAAGCCAGGGCTTAGCACCTAATGGGCACTCAGTAAATGTTTACTGAAGGCATGAGCCCTCACAAATGTCAAGGTTGCAATTCACAATTCAAAGCTGCCATCTTTGTTCAGTGATATTCTCACTTTTGTTATATCTTCAGTGATATTTTTATTTAGGATTATTTTACCAAAGAAAACAAAAACATTCAATATGAAAATTCAGAACTGAAAAGGCTCATCAGAACTCTGGGCCTTTTCCGAATTATCCCCTAGCACGGCTTCATTCAGTAGTAGTTATTGTTGTAAGAAAAATAATAATCTAAGCCAACATTTATTGAGGGCCAATTACGTGCCAAGCTTATGGAGAAAACTGAGGCTTAGAGAAGTTGGGAGATTTAATGAGGTTCACACACCTAGTAAATGGTGGAGCCATAGTCACAAAGACCCATAATCCAAGACATGCTTTGGATGTTCTCTCTCCCTCAACCCTTGGGAAGGACTGCTTCTCAAACACAAGGATCCTTTCTCTACACCCTGAAAACTAAGAGCATCAACTACAGAATCCAAGAGGAACATATTTTCAACTGTAAGTCAAAGTTCTCTAAATATACCCCAGTTAATTCCATGTTTCCAAGAGCAAGTCTCTCCCAAGCAGCATCTTATTAAAAGCAGGTGTTTTTACCGGAAGAAAAAGTCTCTGGGCAGCACAGGGTTTGAATAATTTCTTCCATTCCTGAGGGTTTCCAACTGAAAATGTGATAGGGTAGATTCTATGCTCAAACTTCTTTGTGTAAGAGTCAGGCCACTGTCGTAGCTGAAAAACATGGAAGGTAAGAGGAGGGTGATTAGACACCAGAAATATGGAAAACACCTAAAGCTTCTGGGTGTGCAGGTGGGAATTATTCAGGCAGCATGCACAGAAAGTCTAACTTTATTGCCACTACCATGCTCACTGAATGGAAGATCATTGCTAAGACTTAAAAATAACATCCAGAGTTGGCAAGGATGATGGAAAACTGGCACCTAAACACTGTAAGGGTAAATTTGAACAAACTTCCAAGAGGACAATTTAGAAACTGGTAACAACAAACTCTAAGACAGAGGTACAAGGACTTCCACCAAAACCTAGTTTGTAATTAAAAAAAAACCAAAAAAGTTGGGAACAAATTAAATGATCAATAATAAAGAAATGGGAAAATGCATTATGATATAACTACACAATGGACTAATGTACAGTTAAAATTAAGTAGATCTATATGTGCCAGCATGAAAAAATGGTTATGATATATAGTGAGATTTTGGAAAAAGTAAAGAGCAAAAAGAAATTTATAATATGATTCTATCTTACATGGGAAAATACACGCTTACGTATTTTATGGGATTTCCTTGACTCTTTGATCCTGTTTGTTTGCTTTAAAATGTCAACAATTGCAAAAAAAAAAATCCTATCTTCCAGTAGGATTTATACGCCCTTGCCAATCTATGTCTTTTAAATGGAATTTTCAGTCCATTTACATTTGCTCCTCTGCCTATGTTTGAAGAGTATACTGACTCCAGCCATTGGAAATTCCTCTTGACACCCCTTCCCATGGCAGAGCTACACACACACACACACACACACACACACACACACACACACACACACAGACACACACACAGACACACACGATATTGAAGCCTCATAGGTGCCACCTAACTCCAGAAGGGATGGGTGGCCATTCCCACTTCTGTGCCCTACTATTTCCTGATTCTGAGTCTGCGGCAGGAATACAGATTAGCCAAACTTAAATCATATGTTTGACTATGAACTACCTGGAGAGGTTAGGAAATCAACCAGCTGGCATGTTCAGCTTCTATATTGGGAGATGACAAAAATAAATGAAAACTTTCAAATATGAAATATCAACAATGTAGATGGTAAATATCACCAGACATATTGTACTCAGGCAGCTTTTAAAAAATTTTCCTTAAATCTGACAGAACTCGCCCACAATGCAGTGTCCAGAGGGATCATGATGGCGATTAGTATTTTGTTTTGTTTTGTTTTGTTTTGTTTTGACCCTGCGGTATGCGGTTCTGAGCCTCCCAGGAAGTTATCACAAGAAACTCTGGATATTCCCACAATGCCTCAGTGTTGAAACCGACAGCCTTGAGAAAGGTTGAATAACCTGTCCCTCCACACCAGCATCTCATGTGGCTGCACAGAAACCCACAGCTGCTGATCTGCTGCTTGAGGGATAGCACAGTGCCCACCATAGGGAGATGTTCCAGGGAATCTTTGTGAAATGGAAGAATAAATAGATGATCTGATGCAGCCTCACAATTATACTCTGCAGCAAGCAGAGCAAGAATCATTTATCCCTTTTGTGTATCTACTTTAGGTTTTTGCTTGGTACAGTTGAAGAAATTGGGGATGAGAGAAGTTCTGTGATGTATCTAAGAGCCAATGTTTTACATCTAAACTGGCACTATAATCCCAGCATGGACAAGGGGTGAAACCATACACCCTACTGAGATTTTTAACACCCTACCATAATTTCCGTTGTCAGTGAGCTTCATTGGTCCAATAAATACCCGAGGAAATAAGCCATCAGAGATAAAGTCATCAGAGAAATGCAAAACGTGGCACAACTTCACAAGTATCTACAATAATTCCCCCATCCTTTAGCTCCTAATTCATAATGTCTCAGGAACTATGGCTCATAACAAATCACCCCAAAACTTAGTACTCTAAAATGACCATTTATTATGCTCACAGATGCCATGGACTGGGAATTCAGACAAGGCACAGAAAGGACGGCATGCCTCTGCCCCACGCTGTCTGGAGCCTCAGCTGGAGGCCTGGAAGGCTGGAGGCTGCAGTCATCAGAAGGCTCCTTCTTACAAGACTGGTGGTGGAGGCTAGTTACCGGCTGGGGACCTCAGCTCCTCTCTGTGTGGGTCTCTTCGGATGGGCTAGTTTGGACTTCCTCACTGCATGGTGACCAGGTTCCAGGGGGAGGCAGCCCAAGAAAGGGCCTTGTGACTGCTTCTGGACAGTTAAATATGAGCAGAAATGTCACTGTCTAGGCAAGGGAGTGAAAAGCACAGTGGTGATTGACAATCCCTCTCTTTCCTGTAGTGGCATCTCAAGAACTGTAGGGGCCAAATGTTCCAGGAGGTGCAGTTGATGTTCTCTGTCAACTGCAGTCCCAGACCTGGGGGTTGCCATGTGGACAGGGACCCTGGTGCCTCCAAACATGCGGCAGGTGTGTGGAAAGTCTCTGAGCTTTCTGGGAGTAGTGACTGCAGCCTGACCTAGACTATCTTGACTATCTCCTTTGTCACTATCTCCTTTATCATTCCTGCTGGCCCCAAGCTGCAGACAGGGAAACCAATGCCCAAAAAGCCCACAGGCTTTGCCAGAGATCACACAGCAAGTGAACGGGGGAGCTGAGCTCTGAATACGAGTCTTCTGTCTACTAGGTCGAGAGGTAGTACGATAGAGTGG